GAAATGGTCTATTGTTTCCAGTTCATCACAGAATGTACACAGTGGCGAAGGTGCCTGAGCAGACCTGTGTTTATAGAAATTTAGATTTGGTACCCGGCAACGCAGCCTTGTGATAGCTACTTCTTGTTTTCGAGTGCGGCAAAAGTCTCTTCGCCAGGGAGGTTTCATGCACTAAGTGTTTGAAGTACGCACTTAGAACAAGAGGTCCCTATCGCGTTTTACTCCCGAAGTTGAAGCTTCTGGGTCTCCTAAGTTTTATCACGGTCGGTGTGTTGTGTTAATCGTATTCCTGTCTGTTCCTGACCACGAGGGTACCGTCCAACTATAGATTTCAGTTCTACGCCTATGCAATCGTAGTTAACATCGGAGCTGGAAGGCAATCTCGCGCCACCACCTGGAGAACAGAGATTGAGTACATGATGATGATAGTGATGAATTCACAGTCATGGCTCGTACCCACTTAGGGGAATTGGCTAAGAATCAATGAATTGATTCAGTGAGACTTTTTTCTATATGCAATATCGATACCCCTTCCTCCCCAAAACAGACACCCTAGGTAAAATGAAAGGAGTCCAAAAAATGTATGTTACTCGTTCAGATCAGACAAGGCATTCATTACCTTGAATGAGAATTAGCGTGGTTAAAAGAACCTGCTGTATATGTCACAATATTTTCGCATGAATAATGATTGCGCAATTAAAAGCCTAATAACTTTTGCATTCATTAGGGTATTTACAAACTGCATCGAAAACGTTCTCGCGGCTGAAGCCCAGATCCGAAGCACCGAAGGAAAGTATATTTTCTATTCTAAAGTTCAACCTCAGGCTAGCAAATGGGATGACTAAAAGTATTTTTTGGAGTAGTTTTATTGGTGACATTATAAAAAAATGAAGCTCTATTGTTTGTGATTCTGAACAAAAGTTGCATAGAGGTGATATCAGCATGGTCAATCTTTCTTCCTCTCCTATTGCTTCTTTTTTTGTTTAATGTTTTAAATGCGAAGCATTTCTGAGTGAACTTCGGCGACTTCGAGCGTATCTATCTATCTATCCATCTATCTATCTATCTATCGATCTATCTATCTATCTATCTATCTATCTATCAATGATTCTATCTATCTATCTACCTATCTGTCTGTCTGTCTGTCTGTCTATCTATCTATCTATCTATCTATCTATCTATCTATCTATCTATCTATCTATCTATCTATCTATCTATCGATCTATCTAGCCGCCTCCGACTTCTAGCTCTCCTGGCCGTTTCGATAATGGTATCGACACCAAACTTGATAGGGCATAACATGACTGTATTAAGAACCTATTTGACTAGTTATAACATGAAAATGATCATATGTATGTTATGTGTGTCATGATTTACATTTCAAGGTCCTGTAACTCTCGGTTTCGTTCAGAAGGCATGTTGCAAAACTGATATGGTATGACATGATTGCATACCGAAAACAAGCGACAGACCCTAACATGAAAATCATGACATTCTTGTCATGTAACCACATGACTACATGCCACGCTCATGGTGCGCTCGCGGCTGTTTCACTAGTGTCACATTTACCAAATTTGGTATTACGGTACGTGATCGAATGGCGAAGGTATGTGACTGGTGCAAATATGATAATCATAAGATGCCTGTCATGTAACAACATGATAACATGCCACGCTCATGATGCGCTCGAGGCCATTTCACTAGCTTCACTTGTATCCATCTTGGTATTACGTGAGGCGAACTGACGACAAAGTAAATAACACATCCAAACATGATAATCACGACATGCCTGTCAAGTAACAACATGACAATATGCCACACTGGTGATGCACTCACGGCTGTTTTGTTAGCTTCACATATGGCTAGATTAGTATTGCCTGACGCCAATGAATGACGAAGGTATGTGACTGGTGCAAACATAATAATCATAAGATGTGTGCCATGTGAGAACATGACTGCGTGCCACAGCCAAGGCGCCAATATATTTGACATGACGCGGTGTGCGTGCTCGCCGGCGTTCATTTCGTCGTGTCACGCTGGCGTTGCCAGCCAGGCGCCGGTCCTGACATATGTTCACAGGGGTGCGCCGTACTGCGTTGCTTTGACGCATGGGCATTTCAGCGCGTCCAGCATCCCTCCATACCCAAAAGAGGGAAACGCAGTGTTGTCTGGGTAACGCATCGACGCTAAATGCAGCGTGTCGCATTTCGCACTGGTTGCCGTCGGGCCGCGCAGATGGACGCTGGTCGCGCCGGTCGCGCCTGGTGTCAGACTATAAAGTGCTCGCGTTTCGCTAACGTAGCATCGCTGTGCCCAGCGTGGGCGCGCGTCAACGCTACATTGGAGTTTATTGGGCCCTTCTAGATGCGCTCCGGGCCGTTTTGCTAGCTCAACTAATACCAAATTTGCTGTTACGTGACGTCAATGAATGACGAAAGTGTATGACTTGCGCAAACATGATAATCCTGACAAGCGTATCATGAAAAACATGACAACATACCGCGCTCATGGCCTGCTGGCGGTCGTTCCGCTAGCTCCATATATAATGAATTTGGTGTCACCTGACGTGAATAGAGGCGAAGGTAAACGGCACATCCAAACGTAATAATCATGACACGGAAGTCATGAATGGCATCATTTACCTCCCCCTTGTAACGTTCGTTTCGTTCACGCCAAGTTAAGGGGGTGACCACGAGAACACTCAAACGTAAGCGGCTAGTTAAATACGCTCAAGCTCGCTGTAGTACCCTAAGAATTGCTTCGCATTCGAAATAACTCAGATGAAGACTCCGGCACGCGAAATCGAACGCAGGACCTCTGAATTGTTAGTGCGACGCGTTCGCCACTGAGTCACGGAGGAGCTCCTTCTTGAACGTTCAAATGGCAAGCTAATATATCTGCCGCTTAGCACTGGTGACGGGCATCTCGGGGAAACAATTGTGTTTTCAGCATTACCAGCAACATGGCGCAATGAGCATACGTCACCACATAGTCACGACGTGGCAGCGCGAGCTCTCATCTCCCACGAATACTTTGCTCCGTGGAGAGGCGGCAGAGTGAACTTAAGGTTGCGCGTATTTAGCGGTCGGGACAGTCATAGGTCTTGGCTGGCCTACTGCTGTTCCGGCTGGCTTTCGCTGGAACGATTCTGTCTTAGTTACCAGACGCACAAAGGTCACTGTAATCGTTGAAGACTGCGTTTGCGAAAAAGGCGCGCTTTTCAGACACAGTGAGGTAACAACTGAGGCGCTTATTCGCGTTATTGTGTACCTATGAATACGTTTCTTGCGCTATTTGTACGTTGGAAACATGGGGCACGTTAAGATTTGCTTGCCATTATGAACGTGACCTTCTGAATGGTTGCTATCGCCCTCATCGCTTCGCCTTTGCTGCAAAGCTGTGACTTTTTTTCTTTATGTTATCTGCCTCTTCTTCATAGTTGTTTCCGTTGTCTTTCTTCAACTACTTCCGAAGCGTCACCTCTCCTTTCTTTCCTCCGCACCCTCAATATCCTTTCCAACAACATACTATACTAGACTGTGCATGATAAGATGTGGTTTACCTTCTTACTCCTACTTTGCTTCACCCTCACCCACATAAGACTCCTGTTCACCCTCACGTCCATTTCCAATCTCCTTTACGGAATACTCTAAGTCACAAAAAGTCTTCAATTTGAATAGATAGCGCACGCTGTGGTCTTTTGCGATATACAAAAGGCCTAATTAAATCATATACAAGTGAGTTTTAGAGCCAGGAATCTATAGTCGTTCATTGTTCGAAAGTCTAAGTCACTTTCTCTTCGGCCACATTCTCTCCTTCTTTCATGACACGCACCGTCCGGCATAGCGATGAAGAGTCTCATCCCATCAGCAGGCCGTTTCCAGGTAGGTATTCTGCGCATGCGTACAGGCCTTTAGGAAGCCCACGCCGTGATTTTCGGTAGCAAAAACGTAATGACACGTGTGGATCAAGCTACATCTAGTGCCACAAACATGGAAATGTTTGCCGCAATGAAAGGCGATAACACAGGCCTCCGAGATTGCCTACCGGCATGCGGCGGACAAATTTGGAGCTGAGAAAACAGGTTTTTACGAGCTGAGAAAACAGGTTTTTTGAAGCGGTGCGAAGCGAGGGTGAGAGGAGGTGAACTCAAATCCCTTGCCGCTCCTTCGCGTAGCCTTCACAAGCCAATTCTCTTGCCTACCCTATCCGGCATCCCACCCAGAGGTCACGTGCGCATGACGTGCTCGAACAAGCCTAACCAGTGAGCAATGCGAGCAGCGTTACTTTAGGTCCATTCGATTCACGGGCACCACTTAGAATCGTTTCAGGGTCGTGCCCGAGAGGTGCACGATGGAAGCGTGCCTAGTTCAGGAGAGTAGCAGCTGTGCCGATGCAGCCGAATAGCAGCGCCACAGCAGAATCGAATGCCGAAGTGCAGTTCTTGTGCCATGTCTTCTGCTGTGTTCCAAACAAGCGCGTGGGTGCAGTGTGCGTCGTGTCGGGTGTGCATGTGTGCTTTCCTGTGTGTTGTTTTCGTACGTGAATTAACAGTCTCCCACCTGTCGCTTTTCTGTACCGAGATGAATTCTGGCTGCTCTCAACTGTCGTGCATGTCGCAGTGGAGCTGATAGATTCTGACAGCGACGAAGAGTACGACAAATTATTCGCGACTATAGCAATGAAATCGGCGAGATTGGACTGAATTCGCATGCCAAGGTATTGTGAGAACGTTGTTGACCGGTACTTCGATTTCGAGTTTAAACAGATATTCGGCTGTCACGAAAAACGTTCGGAGATCTCGTTGCCCGCTACCAGACGTCCTCGTTCTTCCAAGATTCTGCTGGTGGTCGCCCACGGATTAGTGCAGACAAGACTTGCTTGGTAGTGCTGAGCTACCTCGATAACCAGTCGAGTATGTACTTCCTTGCCGACAGATTTGGTATATCTGAGTCGTCAGTGTGCACGTGCATTCAGCGCGTATTCGAATTTTTGCACAGAATAAACGAAGAAGTCATTTCTTGGCCAGACAACCGCGAGCAAGAACGGATCAAAACTAACTTTTTGATAAGGAGCGAAGGTAAATGCCCACGCAACACCATAGGCTGTATGAACGGTTGCCACATAGAGGTTGAGAAGCCGGAGGAGTCACCGCAGTCGTACTTCAACCGCGAGAAACTTTCATCGGCTGTGCTTCAGGGAATATGCAATGACAGGGACAAGTTCATTGACGTTTCAATAGAATTTCTGGATCTGCATACGATGCCAGGGTGCTTCGTGAAGGCTCTTTCTTCGAGGTAGCTAAGACGAAGTGTGCAGAAAGCTACCTACTTGGAAACTCTGCATACCCCCTGCTTCCATGGTTATTGATACCGTACCGAGATAATGAGCAGACTTTTCAAGCATAAACAAGCGCTATAACAAGTGCCACTTGCAGCAGAGATCTGCCAATGAGAACGCCTTTGGTCATCTGAAACAAAAACTTCGAAGGCTTTACTTTGTTGACGCTGCTACAATCAAACAGTGCTACCTTAAAGTAATGGCTGCTTGTGTGTTGCACAATATATGCAACAAAGAGATGGATTTCTTTTTGAGGTAAAAGAAACTGCAGAGATTGAAGAAGTCGAAAATGATGATGAGAATGATGTCACAGACCGAAGTTTTGCTGCATGCAGTGAATGTCTGAAAAAGACCATTGCTAAAAAGCATTGTTAGTGCCTCAATTAGGATTTTATAGATGACAGTGTGAAGTGAGGTTGTCGTGAACAATTTGTGATATTCAAGAGTGGACTATAATGTTCTATAAGGACAATCCTATTCCATCTCAGTTTATTCGCAATTTTTTCCACATTGGCTCTACAAAGTACCCACCAGGCGTTCAAAAAGACTAAGTTTTGCCTTTTACTGCTCCTGCTTTTCTTTCCGGCTTTCTCTAAATTCTTGAAGAAGGCCTTGAATCAGAGTGCCATCCACCCTTTTCTTTCTTTTCTGGGGCTGGCTTGACGCTCCTTCAGCTGCAGCTGGGTCTTCGTGTTCGGCAGCTTCTCCTGAACCAGAATATGCAGCAGCCACTCCTTCTGGTTTGGCAGGTTCTGCATCCTGAGACGCACTCAGTGGCGGACGATCATTAGGCCTGCTTGCATCGTGGTTGTGCCTAAAATGAATGTAACCTCGCGAACATGAAATATTTACCTCTCATAAACAATAACTTTACCTGTTCTTTTCCATCTCACTTCCTAAAGCATTCAAACCTGCCGAGGTGATGTGATGTTCTTTTTCCAGAACACCACTCAGTTCTCTAGAAATAAAAAAAACATATTGGTATTATTTTGATGAATAGCTGAATAAAACCTGTACTCACTTTTCAAATCCGCAAGACACCCTGCATTTCCTGAAGAGTTATTTTTTAATTTCGTGCGTTTGACCGCCTGCTCGAGACTTTTCCATTTGTTTTGTACTTGCAGCGGCCTATTCAGAGATTCGAACTTTTTAGAAATTATCTCAGGATGTGTTGGCCACAAGACCTTTTTCGTGCTGAAAGAAATACATGCGAAAATCCAATAATCACATACAGAAACACTTGGCATGTGTTATAAACAACGTGTAGAAGTTAGATATGTGGTGCATTTCAAAATACTACAATTAACCCTTACGAAAAGCCACCCATTTTGCCGACAAGGTCCTTAAGCTCCTTGTATTGGTAAATAAAAATCTTGTTTTTTTTTGCCCGCTCCACATCTCAGGCTCTATAGGATGTTCACTGGCTTGGCTGGGTGCGACAGGTAAAACAACGGGTAATGGTTCACTAGCAATGTCATGGTCATCATCAGGGCTTTGTTGCTGTGGCACGTTGCCCCCAAACATTGGGATTTCTGTTCCATCTCTAAAGAAAGAGTAGCAAGGGTCATCCTTCAGGAAGGATTTGTTTCTGATTGAAAAGTTGCATCATGCCAATTCATTTGACAAGATCGTGCATCTTGTAGGAAGTATTGAAACCACAGTAGTGAATAAGAGGAGAGAGAAATAAACGTTTATTTAGAAACAGTGTTCCGAGCGAGGCCCGGTTTCACCCTAAGGTGAGAGGGTTCCTTAGTCCAGGAACCCTCTGGCTTCAACTGCCCTCTTGGCCCTGGTGACGTCTTGTCGCTGGTCTTCCAGGCCCTCGAGGACGAGCTTGGCCTCCCACGTTTCCATTAGCTAGTCGTTGTTCATTGTTGGTGCTTGGTCCCGCTCCAGTTGCACATCGTGGTTTGCATGGCACCGGCATTGCAGGACCAAGTGTGCCAGGGTGTCTGGTACGCGGCAGAGTGGGCACTTGTAGCCTTGTGTCGTTCGGCAGAGGCGGTGCAATAATATATTATGTACGTAAGTGTTGCTTTGTAGGCGTCTCACTATCACGCTCTCTTATTTTGTTAGTCTAGGATGAGGAGGAGGGTACACCCGTCGCTCCAGCTTGTAGTGTTGAAGTAGCGATAAGTAGGTGTTTTCTACTACCTCTATCTCTGCAGCCACGGATCGGGTATCCTTTTGGCGCAAGGCAGCCCGGAAAATGTGCTCGCGGGCTGGGGCGTGAGCCGCTTCATTTACCTGCAGACCCTTGGGTCCAGGAACCCACATTACACAAGTATATAAATCTGGAGAGCTTCGCCACTGCAGGATGTTAATTGCGTTGGCTGAGACGCGACTCTTCACATTATTCCGGCAAGCGGCTTGCGACTCAGTGAAAATCAGCGCGGCGTCTTCACATGTGGTAGTGGCGAGAGCAATTGCCACTTCTTCCGCTGCGTCTGAGTTGCGTGCCTTGACTGCGACCGAGACTAACTCTCGGCCTTCAGAGTCGACGATGCTGATAGCATAAGTGTTTCTACGAGGCTACTTGGCCGCGTCGGTATAGCGGGCGTTCGTGTCTTGCCTGAACTTTCGTTGAAAATCTTCTGTTCTAGCCTTTCGTCTACCTTTGTGGAATGTGGCTTGCATGTTACGTGCATTGGTATGATGGACAGGGACTCTCGAAAGTCCATCGAATGCGCTTTTTCCGGTCTGCATCTGCAATGTATGACTCGATGTAGTTGAGATACCGGAGTACCAACCTCCTAGTGGGCGTGAGCTTGAGTAGTTCCAGCTGGCTGTTCTTAGGAGCCTCCGCGAGCTCTTGCCACGTGTTGTGGACACCCATCTTAAGAAGTTGTGAAGTAAAAGCCATGAGTGGTAGTCCCATGGTGGCTTTGGTTTTCTTTCTCATCATAATATTAGGTTTTTTTTCCTACTTCATCAGTTTTCAAGCAGATTTATGGCGCGCCGTACATCATGCGGCTGGTGAGCAGAGCTTGCATTATTAGTAGGGTGTCCTGTTCTTTAAGCCCATTGCGTTGGTTTGCGATCATGTTGACGACGTGCGCGAGCTGCGAGAGAGTTCTTTGGACTCTTGGTATGGGGGCCACTCCCGATCCATTTTTGTGTATTAGAAATCTGAGCAGCCGTAGCGTATCAACTTTCGGAATAACTGTCCCTTTGAGGGTAGCGCAAGGGTCGGGCTCTTGTATGGAAGGTCTGCGTCTCGTTCTTGCTTTGAGTACAATGTGCTAAGACTTCTGTGGGGCGCAGCTGAGGCCGCAGTGTTAGAGAGGAGCATGAAAAAAAATTAGACGAACGTTATATTTTGCATTTTTAACAACATGTACCACTGCGTACTAAATTTGGTGTAGGTAAACTGCTTGGGACTTCTTGTAATTATTTTGTTGAAACAAAGCAATGTGGTCATGGAGAAACCTTGTTTTTGAACAACCTGATTCACCATTTAACATACACAATAATTTGAAAATTCCAATTATATTGAGATACAAAATACTACGGACCTAACAAACTTCCCCAACATGAAGAGCGGAACAATTTGAAAGGCTCCACAAATTGTAGAAAATCTAGGACGATGGAAGGCGACTTCAAAACTGTTGACCGCGTACACGTGCTTGCGAGATATTTCGGGGTTACTTTGCTTACCCTAAAATCTCTCTTACGTGGCCATTAAAACTTCTGCACATGCCCGTTGTAACATTCTGCACAGCCAATAAAACGTACACAACGTGTGGCAGTTCAGGTTTTTAAAGACTTGTGAAACGGCCTTGTTTTACCAAAGCTGTCCACACGAGTGTCTGCAAAGCGGTCGGGGTGCCTAATTTGCGAGATGTACGCTACACACCCACCCACGCAGCAAGCAGCCCACTGGCATCCAGCCTAATTTGGTGTAGAAACATTCACATATAATAAACTCTATATCACAGGCGCTATGAGTAATGATTAGACAGCAGACTAAACAGACGTAAGCCTACCTGGTGCGCTGTAGGCAAAACCGTCGTTCTGTGGAATTAGGCCTCCGTCATTGCCAAGGACGGGTTCAGGAGCATTTCCGCACAGTCTATGTTTGTTCTCACTGCCATCGCCGATGCCAGAGCTGCTTCTGCTGCTGCAATTTTCTGCTTGCGCTGCACGCTGAACCACGACGGCACTGTACCGGCACCACCACGAACACAGGTGCAGGAAAACGTGGGATAAAACGTGAACCAAGGCTGCACACCTCTCGCACTTTTTAAACGAACAGCGGCGTGCAGAGGGCGCTACGCTACACCACTGAATCAAACGGTACGGTGCAGCATTTCGTGAACTAGCTCTTCTGGTGCAGGTGAATGAAACGGACCTTTTGTTGACCAGCGGTATTTTGAGGTGTAATGCCTTCTTCTGCGGCATAGATGCTTCGTTGCGCCCGCGTTTGGAAAGGCTGGCATGAATCATTGATGCTTACCGTGACACACCGTGGCGCATCGCTGCAACCGCTGTCGGAGACGACACCCCGAGCCCTGACAGTCCACCTTCTCCAGGCGAAGGACACGACATGTGTTGGTACGTTACATTTCACTTAATGCGCTTCGTGCTCTTACTGTTTCTTACTGCATGCTCGAGTGTGTTAAAAGTGGCGATGTCATGTTCAGAGCTTGTCACTAGCGAATACGTTCGTGTCATGCTTCTTGCGTGTTGCACTGTTTTTTTCTAAAACTGCCACACTCTCTTCGACGCATGTGTTTGTGTGGGCATTGCGTGGCAAGCAGCAACGCAAAGGAAAATGTGTGCTGTCGTGTGGTGCCGGCAGTTGCCCAAGGAAACGACGATTGCATTACGCGTCATTGAGATTTTGAAAGTGTTTGCTTCAATGCTGCGGTTCTCGGGGTTGCGTTTTACATCTTGGCAGACTTCGACGTCGAAATGGATGCGGAGTTTCACAAGAAAGAAGCTCACGGCGTTGTTTTCAG